AACATACTATGTTATAGTATAAATCAAATTATAACACATATAGTAATATCATGGCTGAACAATTAATGCTCAAAACGAGTGCATATATGCTAAACAGTATATTAAATCAAATAAATAAAACATTTAACATACATTATAAACAATAATACAATTGCAGACACTATAATAACAATAATAATGATAATAATACAGATAGAACTAACAGAACAAATACAGAACAATATAATAACTAACACATATTATGGTTGAGCAATTATATGTAACATATTGGATTCAGTGGTTACATGTCAGATATTGTAATTACTTATCAGATACCAAATATAATACACATATCTAAGATATACAGACGAGTACAGATATACAAAAGTATAATGAATAACTACAAACCAAAAAAAACAATGCTACAGAGTATATAAACTAACTATACACAAAAGAATAATGTTATAATGTATAAATACTGATTACAGCACAAGACAAGTGTAAAAATTATAATTATTAAACAAATGATACTACTTTACACATTAATACAATTGTGTAAATGTATACTAACAATGAACAAAAGAATTATATCTCTAATATACTTGAAACAACACATTAATACAACTTAATTACACAGAACATGTTATCACAGTAGCTGATTATATAATAAATTTCGAAGTTGTAATAGTAACATCAACTGTACAGTGTATATACCTTAACAAACAATTATTAAATTTACATTGTGACAACATAGCTTGTAGGAGCAAAGTATTAAGCTGATAAGGCTATTACAACAAATAATACAAATATAATTATTACAAACACATTATTATAATAATTACAATTGAAAACAATCATAATATAATATGATTAAATAAATTAATAAAATGTTTAAGTCATTATCTCAGACAATATAATATAAAATAGGTAATAATGGATGTGAGCATACTTAATAGAACTCAGCACATTTACTAAAAGCACTACATAAATAATAATTACAATGTTATTAAACAAATATTATACAGAAACAAACAAATTACCATATGTTTTCAACACAAAAACAAAATATTCATTCATAGTTATGAACAATAATTAATAAAAGATAATGAGTGCAAACAAAACTTGTATATTATACATAATGTGTACTTATCTACTATAATGAACAAAATACACATTATATAAGTTGACAAACATTAACAGTAATGAAAAAATAATAGTAATAACATTTAAATTACTTATTATAGAACATAACAAATGTTACACACTGCTTTAAAATACTAATAATTGGAAATCGAACTACAAAAGCAATTACAATTATTATATATAAATATTATATTATAACAATGATTAATAAACAGTTAAAGAAATATCCAATTCTTTAAAGAAATACCTTCTTGAATTGAAGGGGAGAAAATGGATAATATGCATGAAAAATTAATAACTAAATATAAACAATGGAACAGAAAGTATAATGCTACAGACACTATGAAAAATAGAATAACAAAATACACAGACTAAGTACTGACTAAGCAATAGAAGTTACAGACAGACATAATGGATCATAAAGGTAAATCATTCAGTACAAAGCAAAATTACATTGATCAGAACTAAATAACAGAAGTCAACACAATGTGTAATTGAACTTCAATGTTAAATAAATAATGATTCTACTATGAAACAAATGCTCATACTTGGCAAATAATATTAATATGATAATATAATTAACTTAACAGCATTTAATACGAAAATAAATAATATACAGACAATTATCACATCATATAACAAAATAATTCATCAATTCAGACTATAGTTCATGGATAAAAGTGATGAATAACGAAAATAATACTTCAGAACATACATAAAACAATAAATAATATATCCATACAATAATACGAATATAATTGCAATATAATTCACAACTACAACTGAACAATACACAGATAATAACTATATAAACAAGTATGGAGCACATACATATAATTAAATAAAACTATTAAATCAATTCTTGTACAAACAATTAATTTGCCCTCACTGCACAATTAATACAAGTATGAACAGTATTATAATACTATGAAATACATTAGATAGATATTAAAAGGTATATCTATACAATGATTTAAATAAAATAAATAAAACTAATATATAAAATGTTTTACCTAGCAAACCAATTAATAAATAAAACGTTGAACAAATACTACAATTGTACATAGCACTAGATTAACTAAAGAATGCTAGGAAACAATTATAGTAAACATAATCCAATATATTACTTATATGCAGATTGTGTTACAATACATCATTCTTTACAAAAGAAAAAGTAAAGAACAATAGCCATAACATACACATATATATACACAATACTACAATTGCAACAATTCACAATAACATTGTTAATGATAAATAATACAAACACACGTTAGTAATGATTTACAACAGATAACTATGTTGGCTATTAAAGAAACAACACAACAGATTGCATAGTTACTCAGGATGCATCAGAAACAATCAATTAACAAACATAACATTAATAAATTAATACACAGATATAAACAATAATGTAAAGCAAACAAACAAACAGTACATTCATGATATAATACATATACAATGTACCTAGACACATAGTAAGATGCCTACAGCCAGACATAACATCTATGCAACAAATATATGTTAGCATAAAACCTCATTAATCTCAGAATGAAGCAATCTGGCAAAAACAAATATTATTATTAATATTACAATATATGATTGATGTAAAGCTTCAATCCAAAGACATAAATCAGCTATTACTGAATGCTTAACACATATACAAATGTAGACAAACACAGGTGGCAATGATTAAAGAAGGATATTATTGCAACATCAAATATACATTTTACTAGTGTGATTCATTAGTTTCACAGCAAAGTAAAAAGGAAATTACTAGAGTACTCAAACAGACTTAATAACAAACAATATGACTTAATAACAAACAATATGTCTGAATAACAAACAATAAAACAAAACAAGCAATTGCATTTATGATTTAAATATGTGTATATATGTACCTATGCATGCTGACAAGATTCTGCAGGTCTCTGAAGCATTTATAAATTATTTAATAACATTTACAAATGATCTATTGTGATAACAATGCTGTTATTGAACAATATATTATGAACAAACAAACTAATTAAATATACTTAAACAATATAACATCAGACAAACTTAACACAAAGTGGATGACATTTGGAACAGACAGTACACAGAACAAACAATGCATTACTACAATGCTAATAATATTATTATTAACTACATCAAGTTATAAACACATTACACGAACAAACAATTGTACAATGCAGTTATAATGATTAAACTATCTATACATACTGTAAGCAAACATCTTACAAGTCTACTAGACCTAGTAAGAGTTTGAAGGGGAGTGTTAAGATGAGACTACACAAGAGTATGTCTCAGATGATATAAACTACATTACAAGCAATGACAAACAATGATGGAATACCTTCCAT